AAAATTTTATGTGTAGTTATTATGCGCGTTTTTGTATAATTAGTAAAAACAGGTGTCCGGATACTTTTGTCCAGGGAATGTATGACGGGCAGGATGCGTTTGTGTCGTCATTCTAGGGGACATTAAATCTATAAAAAATAAATGCTACATGTACATTATATGTGATTTCACGTAATTGCAATCAATATACATATCACTTGTTCTATCTTGGCCCTAGCTCGATACATTTTTTTGTCACTAGTTGTTTGCGAGTACTTGTGACGGAACCTATGACACTTGTTTGAGAGTTTTGAGCCTTTTTCGTTTCTCTCTTGATTACTTCTCTAAATCTGTCACAAGTTACTTAAGTAAAATAGTAGAATTCTAAGGGAAAAAATAAAACTCTTCCTATAGTATACCTTTGATAAATACCCGAAATATATATCCAGTACACACACATATACCCGACACATATATCTAGTACATATATGATGTACTCGATACCTACGATACATATACATATATCTGATATATACCTACCTTTGATAAATATACATATACCTGTTATATATCTACCTTCGATATATACATATGGTATACCTATAGAAAAAAAAATAAAAAAGGTGGGACTCGATAAATTAACCTAAGGAACTTGTGATGCTTGTGACAGTCATCGAGAACAGTTTTATTCGAACTCAAACTCTCAAGAACCCAGTTTTCTACCGATTTTTTTACTTGAGACGAACTCATGTCAACTTGTGACAGCGAATATCACTATTACTATGTATTTTTTTATAACCCCATTTTGTGTCATCTTTTCCAGATTTTTTTCGGTGATAGTGTGCTTTAATAAATTAATTAAGAAAATAAAGATATTTATTACTAATAAAAAGAATTATTGATTGTTTTTTAACTTGTAAAAAAATCATTAAATTTCCCACTTGCGTAATAGTAATGAATTGTTAATTTCCCGCTTGCGTAACAATAATTTTTTTAAACAAAAATTTTGCCTTCAGCGAATGAAAAATGAGAAAAATGAAAAAACTGATTTTTTGTAATCTGCATGCTATAATTAAAATATTTCTCAGATAATAACATATAGTTAAAAAAAAATATTGGCAGGAGAATTTTTATAGTTGATTAATTTTTTACATAAAGTGAAAAATAAAGTGAACCTTTACACATTTGATCTACAAATACATTTTTCTATATACAACAAAAAGATTACTTTGGTTTTCAATTCAACACCCAAATTTTAAAAAAAATTCCTTCCCAAAAAAAATATTTTAGTTCTAAACAGAATTCATTAATTTCGCATTCAATTCTGAATCCAATTCAATTCCGAATCCAATTCTGAATCCTTAATCCATTAATTCATTTAAAATTGAAGATCTACTTTGTTGATACTTAATTAACATAAAAAATTACACAAATTTTGATATGATAAACGTATTAACCCTTTTTATTGAAAAATTCGATAAATATGGAAGGTTACATGCATCAAACTATTAGCTATATATATAGAAATTTATTTATATGTTTAATGATCTACAAACTTTTCATATTCATAATTTAATAGTCACGGAGACCCAATAGAGTGTTACTAATTCATAATTTTTATTATAATTTTAACCTTTCTATAAAATTTAAATTTTAGAGATGAATGAATACATGCTTTATTAATATTAGTATTACACGGAAATCGTAAAATAATTTTCAGGGATATCAATCGCCCATCCCCCACATAAAAAATTAATATGTACACGTTTGTAGATCAAATAACCATTTCTTTTTTTTTTTTATAATGTCATTTACGACAAGAAAAGAAGAAAAGAAAATAATCACGGAGATGCGCTAGAGTAAATGTTTATCATAAGAATGGTGGTGTTTATCGCCACTTATTGTCACTATAGTTTTTTTTCAAAAATTAAAAATGCCACAAGAAACAAGAAAAAGAGAATATGAACTGGTTGAAAGAGGGCAAGTGTTTATCAAAAGAATGACGGTGGCGGTTGTCGTCACTCGTCTTCATTCTACTTGTTATATAAAATATAGTTACATTAGTCAAATTTTATCTTCGCATGTGAATTTTAAATTGGCATCACATAAAATATACATAACTTTGTTTTTAATTTACTTGGTATTACTGATAGGCATATTAATGCCGTATGCGAAAGATACCGCAATTCAATTAATATCACCAGGATCAGCCAGTCATTTATCTGAAGAAAAAATGATGCGTTAAGAAAATTGATTCGAATAAGTATAAGAAAATTAATTCGAATAAAAAAATTAATTCGAATAAAACGATAATTCGAATAAGAGAATTGATTCAAATAAGGAAATTAATTTTGAATAAAGCAAATAATTCGAAAAAAATTAATTCGGATAAAACAAATAATTAAGGTTCAGTTTAAATTCAAGCTCACTGGAAAGATTTCTACTTATTAAAAGAAACATGAGTCTTGTTTCAGTCTTTCCTTATTAGTTTCATTTTTAATTTCAATTTTTATTAAACCTTGTTGTATATATAGTTTGAATATGAACAACCCATGATTTCCAAATAATCTAATAAAATGAATGAACAAACCCAAGATTCCAATAATGAATAAAACAAATTAAACAAAATAACTAAATGAAAATAATATGATTCAAAAAAATTATTCAATGCGTGTTGTCGTACTACAAACACACAATTAATCCGGGCACAATTGACCAATCCTTTTAACACGTTTTTTAAGGTGAATTTGTAATTTAAAACTTTTTTGAATTAAATCTAAACAAACAACTAATTTCTAATTCATTGCTTTTTTTGTATTCGAATAAACTTTTAAATTCGAATAAATTTTTTAATTCGAATTAATGCTATATGCATTCCTCCCATTATTTTACTTTTACGTTATTTTGCCGATAAAATATCAATAAAGCTATAATTATTTTTAAATTTTTGCGTTTATATGTGAACGTGTTAATTTTTGATCCCTATATATCAATAATGGACGAATTTTAATGTTATTTGCTTAGTGAGTAAGGAAAGGAAAGTGTTGTTGTATTTTTAATTGTAAGGCTGTCAAACAAGATGCTTAAAAGTTGATTTGTAAATAAACCAAAGCGAGTTTGCAATCGTCCAAATAAAAATGAAGGGTGAACGACTGAAATAAATCGATCACAAATAAATAAAAAAGAGCTTTATAGAAACCATTAAAGTTTGTGAAAGAACCATCTTTATTTATTTACAGTTATCTGATACCCTCAAGTGTGTTTACCAGGTGTAAGAAAGCGAGAACCAAAGAAATCTTCGGCATTAGCTAAAGGGCTACTTTGCAGTAAGTTCTCTTCCGAAACTATTTAGGTGATTTAAATGAGTTTAAAGTAATGAGTAATTTAAACTCAATAAAATGAAGACTGTAATCAATGAAACAAATGAAACGAATAACAAACGAAACGAATCAAACGAATAATTTGAATAAAAATTTTATCAGAATTGTACGCAACTAGTACAAATTAGAACTACATAACGTTACACCCAGCATTCTATTGTAATAGTTTACTGACTGGTATAAAAAGATTTGGATAATTGATTGTTGAAGGATTAAGTTTAATCTGATCAAACTATGCAAAAAAAATAAAAAAAGTCTCTGAAGGCTCTTTGGCAGTTGGACACTCATTAGAATCATCTGCATGCTAATTCAATATGAAATTTAGGAGTATTTTTTGCAAACTCGGGTCTTAGTCTATCACATATTCCTATGCTAGTACGTTGTTGACCCGTTGAAATTACTGACATCAATATTCCGAAGCTATATATCAAAAGCTCCTCGCGAGCCAGATAACATATTAGCTTTGTGAGCCTATTAAGTTGCTCGGCTTGCGAACTGGCTCATGTAGAGCTTTATATATAGCTGATGCCATTGTATAAAACTTCTGGTGAAAACAAATGACAACACTCCAAATATATCATTTTATCTGATACTGGTGTTTTATTAACAATCCTAAATCTGCAATATAAATAACTGTTTAGAATATTGCTACTATGAGGATCATATTTCTATCACTGGATGTTTTACAAATCATCAATTATCTTATAAGAATTAAAACTTTATCTTGTCACTTTAAATTTTTTAAATTCCTATGATAAATAATCGTAAAGATTATTATTACTAAAATAATTGGATTTTTGTAATATGCCATGATTAACTCCAATCAGATTGATGCAATTTAACGTAATTTTCTAATTGGAAAGCGAAAATGTTAAAGTTGGATAGTATTGAAAGATTTTGAGGATAATCTAATTTTTTTAAAGCAACAATGACACATCTCATTGATTTCATTTTTATTAACATAATGTAAATATGTTTCATCATTATCCAGATAACTTTATAAATAGATGCGAATATGATTAAAATATCCTCCTACTTTTAGTTGTGTACTTTTGATTATTTTTCGCCATTACTGAACCATCCTTGAGTAAATATTTCTGGACCACAAGTTTAACATTATTATTAAATCTATTACAGGTTGGACGTGTACCATGTCCTTCATTTCATCTTTCTGGATGTTCATCATCATTAGCATCAATCGAAATACCATAACTTATGTTTTCATTCCATCCTGAATAATTTGAATGGTATCCTCAAATATAAACATATTACTCAAAATTTACAACCCAAAAAAATTTATTTATTAAGAGAATTTAACAATTGATGATTCACAATTTTATTATTTCTTATCCTTAACTTTCTTGTCTTTATCCTTTTTATCCTTCTTATCCTTATCCTTCTTATCGTCTTTGACTTTATCCTTCTTATCATCTTTGTCTTTATCCTTCTTATCTTTGTCTTTCTTTTTGTCATCCTTATCTTTATCCTTTTTCTTGTCATCTTTATCCTTTTCCTTTTTCTTGTCATCTTTATCCTTCTTTTCTTCTTTATCTTTGCCCTTGTCTTTCTTCTCTTCTTTATCTTTACCTTTATCCTTCTTATCCTTATCTTTATCTTTCTTATCCTTGTCTTTATCTTTCTTATCATCCTTATGTTTACTTTTTTCATCGCCGCTAGTTGTCTTTGAGAATATTTTAAATAATATTCATTGGAAAAAAGTAAATTGTTTATTGAACTTGAATTATTTTAAATAATCTATTTATTAATTTATTAACGCTTACTGCAGTAGTATATCCAGGTGTCGTAAAGTTATAGTTAGGTTGAGGAATTTGATGTGATGATTGCTGGTAAGCCAATTGTTGGTAAGTTGGTGGCAAGTTTTGTTGCTGCCCTGGTGGTGGTGGTGGATAATAATTTGAGTTAGTATTTATAGCTATTTTTCCACCATATGATGACGGATCAGGGAATCCAGCAGCAACTACATGACTATTAGAATCAGTTATCCGAGTTTCCGTATAAGGTGATGATGGATTAGTAGGTGGTTTCATCGGAGGAGGTGCTCCTTTTCCATAACCACTTGGAATTGCACCATTTTCTGGTCCAAGTAAGCTAACATAAGGCTGCTGCTGCTGTTGCTGCTGCTGATTGTATTGTGGTGGTAAGGAGCTATTAGCAGAATTTGGAGGTGAGTTACTTTGATACATTTTATTACAATATATTTCCTAGCAAAAAATTCAAAAACAAAAAACAAATTAATTCCTTTAATTCTCTGTCGTGAGAAGAAATATTTATTTCCAATGTTACACGCTGCCTATGTGAAACTTAAAATTTTAATTTGTTCTAGCTTCTTACTTCTCCTCAAGTTTCGCATTTATTTTAACTAATTATTTTTATTATTATATAATAAACAAACAAACACAGATCATTCTATTCTCAGAGTTACGAGGTAAGGAAAAATAGTAAGTAATAGTTACACGCCAATTTTTGGTTTTTAAATATATTAATTAATGAGTGGAGCTCAGTCTATCGACTCATGTAAATCATATATTAAAATTAACAATAATATCATGCAAACTTTTTAGCGATGGTTCGAATAAAATGATGTATTGTTTTAATTTTTCATTCTTAGCCTCAACCTCAACAAACTTCTTTCTAAATTCAGGAATCTCTGCATTCTTCATCAATCTCGGCTACAAGCTTGGAATTCAATTCTCTCAACGAATTAATTATGGATTGTGTATGTCTGCCATTGTTTTATATAAAAGCAATTATATTCAAAAGTTTCGAAATATATATATCAAAAATATTATAAAAATTAATCATACAGTATCTTAGCAAAAGTTTCGGACACCACAAATACATTGTCACATAAAATTTTATATTTATAAATTTCCTAGGACTTTGAAGAAAATAAAAATTCGTGATCAATTTTTTTTAATCATTGCTCTAGAGCCCGCTATTACACGTGAATTTCATTTGGAATTATGCATTTTTTTCATTGCAGTTATCACACACCACACATTAAAAAATTAAAGGCTCGCATGGAAAATATAATCTGATTATTTATTAATTATTATCAAACCGTCCGTACCAAAATGGACAGGTTCTGAGACAGTTATGTGTCTTGCTAACAAGCTGGTTAAACTTAGGTGTGCCAAAGGTATCCCGTTTGAACATTGTTTTTGCTGATGGTGAACTTGATCTACAGAGCTTAGCATATAAAGTATCAAAGGATTTTTGAAATTCTCAAGAGAGTTACTATCTCATCAACAAAAGATGCTATTATTTCTTTTGCAGAGGCTGGAACCGAAACTTGACAAATATGAATCATGAAATATTATCCTAGAATAAGTTCTGACATATAAAAGTCAATTGTATGATCTACAGTATATAACAAACTAGCAAAAGGTGTCTAAAAAAATTTCATGAGGAAAAAAAATTAATTTATTTTCTTACCAACACATTGGAATCCTAATACATTAATATCAATGCCTTTGTCAATTGCTGAATCCATACAGTCTTTCATGAAAACACCAAATCGAATAAGATCCTTGCAGTTCTTTACACATTTTTTTTTTTTGTGAAGATGCGTTCACTTCACCAATAAATATAGCAGAATCTGTTTTGTAATTGATGAAGAATGGATACCATGAAATTTGGGCTGCTTAGTTCTACCTTCAATATTTCTTGTTCTACTTTCATTCAAAGCAGTATTTGGCCATTGGACAACGTGTTTGTCTGGAATGTGTAATGTATCCTTCATAATATTATCTATATAATTTGTTATTAATGTTATTTCTCTCAAATTTCGATCATTTGAAAGTTCTGTATAAAAAATCAACCTGTAGCACATTCACGTGAAATCTTTGTCGCTCTTGATAGCATTTCTGAATTTAACGTTATGCCATTATTTTACAGTGTATTCATTCATCAAGAAAATATGAATCAAATATTCAATCATTGTTTTTGAATAAGAATTTGGTGAAATTAAAAAAAATGGATGAAAGCGACAGTATTTCATGAACGTTTGACTCAACAAATAAACCTCCGTTCTTTGAAATCCATATTGACTTATTTTGATATATTCGAAATAATTTTGATACGTTGGTACCTCCTACTTTATAATCGTTTATTTGATCCCCATCCTCAAAGTGCAGATCATCAATGTCATCAATTTTTACAATCTCATCCACAATGAGCAGATTATTCAGATTCGATGAAAATAGGCGGAGGTAGCATAGTATTTCCAACTTGATATTGCCTCTTTATTGTTCGTTCCTCATCATAATCATCATCTCGTCTTTTTCCTAAAACACAATTAACTTTGATAAAAGTTGATTTGCCATAGATGATATATATCAATAAATTTGACAGATTTTAATGTTAGCACACAAACTTGAAGTGTAACAGAATAAAAATGTTTATCTTACTTTTCATGAACTTTCTTATATTTAAATCACCAGAATTTTTTTATTAATTCAAAACTATTCTATCAAAAGACCTCTCAAGATTTCGTTGATTTTGCTTCAAATAGATATACAAGCTATATTATGCAAAAGTATCGCTAGTATTATCGAATATTTTTTTTTGCTCATTTCTTTATCCCAACTTGTATAATAGGTGAATCAATAACCTTCTTTAACGTTCTTGAAAATGCATCCCGGATATCACTCAAATTCTTAGGATTAGAGGTAGGTATATAGATAGGGGTATCTGTATAATAAACAATTTCCATGCCTAAAAAGAGGTTTACTGTTGGTAATGTTAACTAACATAATTTTAATAGAATTATCTGGTGGAAAAACATAAGTTATTGTAATGACAAATGATAATATAATATTCTGGTAAAGAGCCATTACAAACACGTAACAAGTCATAGTGATTTACCCACAACACTTTAATCCAAACATCGGCCAAAGGGCTGAACCATATGGATGTAGGATACCATCAACGACGTGAAAAAAAATACTTAGTTGGGAATAGCGACGCATTATAACAAAATGGTTAGATTTCCGATTAATCTTTTTTTTATCCTACATTGTGTTTTATTTTATTAGTAAAAAATTTTTTTTCGAAAAAGTACCACTTAGAAAAGTGGCGCTGCACAGACTATATAACACCACCTCAAAATTTGCACAAATGTTCTATTATTTTTGTCCTTTCCTGAGCGGAATTGGATTTTGATTTTTATTAATAACAAAGTTCTAAATTTGTCATCCAAATTTTGGGATGATCCATTTAACTTGACGCGTAACATAAAAAATATAACTAATAAAGAAAAAATTTTTTTTGGAAGAAATTCCCTTTGAATTTAGCCAAGTAATAGAAATAAACAAATTGTGAATATTCAAAATAAATACAAGTATCTGAAATAATTATGAATATCCAAAATAATACAAATATTCAAGGTTGTACGAATCAAATATTTAATTTCTGAGGAATTTATTTATTATTCAAATCAAATCAAATCAAATCTCAATCTAATCGGATTTTAATTTCTGAGGACGCCCCATGATCTTTCTAATTTAAATTTAATCATTGATCTGAAATATTGTTATTATAGTTGGACTTTTTTGTTAAACCTTTGTTTAAAAAATTCTTCCAATGTATCGATAGGAAGAATAAAAATTGTTTTTTTCTTAAATCTTGAATGGCTTACTTGGGTACAGAATTCTGATTGGCTAATACTAATCCGTATTTCACAAAGCCTGTTGCATTGAGTTGAGCTTCTCTTCCTGGAAGTCGTTAAACATTTGACTGTCTGAGAGTAGAGTCAATGTAGTAAATGAATATAAAGATTAAATTTCTTAAATCAAAAAGTCTAAAAGAAATGTACAAGCCTTGATTGATATTATGCATATGAACTAATGAATAATTTATCAGATCTAATAAAATGTTATTTCAATAATAATAGTTTCTGTTGTAAAATTTTCAATTTTTTCAATTTTAAATTCTTTCGATATATTGATAAAAAACAAATTTTTGGGTACGGAATTTTGATTAGCCAATACTAATCTATACTATATTTCACAAAATTCTGTTGCGTTGAGTCGAGCTTTTCTTCCCGGGAGTTGTTAGACTTTTCATCTTTTAATTTTGACTGCTTGAGAAACAGGTGACAATGTCATAAATAATATGTTGTTTTTGTGGATGCATCGAATCTTAAACGTTATATTTTCTTTATTACTATCATTTTTTTCATTACACCTGAATCAATAAATCATTTATATTCAATCGTCTCTTTTCATCGCTTTCATTGACCATGTATTATGTCCATCCTTCAAGAAAAAAGCTCAAATGAGTTTGGGCTTTTCAATCTTTATTAATGACATTAGATTGTGTAACGACTCTTGAATTAATAAAATAAATAAATTTTTTTGCTCAACGAATAAACAAAAATGTAGAATATGTCTCAACTCTCGCAAATTGTAGAATGTCGTTTCGGCAATATGTGTCACGACTCTCAAATTCGAATGCAAAGTAAAAAGCAAAATCGACGCACCGTTTTTTTTTGCAATTTTTTGGTCCACGGGTGGAAGTAGCAGGTCTATTTATATTAATATGTTTTCGTAGTAATTTATTACGACTATTCGATCAATGCACCATTCAAAGAATATCGTCGCGCCATAATGCTACTTTGTGTTTCACTAAACTCACTGTTACATCTCGGTTTAAAAAACTTGTTCCAAATTTTGAGTTATGCGGGAAATATTCGATTCCTTAAAGAGGGATTTGCTCCCTTTCCTTGCCTGCTATGCAATTGCAATGCTTTCGCACTCCCCCGAGTTTTTCTGTTCAAGAAAAAAAATCGAAAATGGAAAGATGCTCTAAGATATTTATTGTTGGTCATCTAAAAGTTAGTTGCTGTTAAAGAAATCGACTAGGGCTCTTTTGAAGATACTAATAATTCGTATGACTAATTTATTGTTAAAGAGAATCAATCGATTGAGACTTTTTAAAGAGAAATACGTTACCACCACAAAAAAAATCAGGTTTATTCGTATTTTAATTCCTTTGTTGAAAAGATATATAGAATAATTTGTAAAATTTAAATGTGAAAATAATTACCATTTTTTGTATATGATCAATTCAATTAAAAAATTGGTTTCTTAAAGAATAGATTACTCCCGCCTACTTCATTTATTATCTAACAAAAAAACAATATAACAATATCTTTCATATTATGACTATATAACCATTTATGGAATCAGATTTTCATTGGAACGTTCCAAATGTGGTTCCGATGAAGTTAACCAATGAATTTCAATCACAGTGCCATACACGAATTTTATTGGTCAGTATCAATTGAAGATCCACATTGGAACATTCCAATAGCGTTGCACAATACTGTTATACATATGGTAATAGTAATAGTATTAGTTATTAGTATTACAATAAATCGTGAAATTTTTCTTTTTTTACCTTTCGTTTAATTAAAATACAAATAACAAATAACGTTGTAGGATAACGCGATAACGATAGTGACAAGACTCTTCGATTGTCAAATGATCATCAACTTGCTTATTTTGATGGTTTTCAAAGTTGATTTTATAATATTGTGACGCCAAAGAATATCATTGTTGTGAAAGTTTGGCATCACTATATTTAGTATTTTATTTTTCATAAATTAGGCCATTTTGTACAATGTTGTGATTTTATGATGGTTACAATAGAATACTGGATGTCATAGCTAAATGTAGAAAGTTGAGCTCCTTGGACCGAGAGAAATATCTCTACATTTGTGTTGCGAAAAAAATGTGGGGAAACCAAGTGGTGCGATTTTTTTGCTCTTTAACTTTAATGTATGGTGCAGGTCACCTAGTCCCGCAACTTGCTGCGCCTCGTGGCCAATTTTGGGAAAAAACATCAAAACTCAGAATTGTAAGTTATTGGGGTTGTCATCATCAAAAATAATAAACATCAATAATAAATTTTCATATATGCGGATTTTTTAAACGTTATTTTGAAATTTTTGTAACATCTCCAAAATAGTAAAAATCAATAAAATTGACAACTTTGAACCTTTATAAAAAAATTCTCTACTAATATAATCAAAAAACTCACTGATAGACTATTAATTGAGTGTTTTTAAATACAATTGTGGAAAGATTATTCACATAGCTTGCTTGGTTACCAAGCTTTTACATTTTAAATTCCCATTTTTTATAGTAAAAACCAATAAAATTGACAACTTTAAACTTTTATAAAATTTTTTTT